GATATTTATGTAAATGAAAACCAAAAACGAGCATGAGTAGCAATGCTTATATCAGATAAAACAGACTTTAAGTCAAAAACCATAAAAAAAAACAAAGAAGGTTATTATATAATGACAAAGGAGTCAATTTAGCAAGAGAACATAGTAATAGTAAATATGTATATACCCACTGCAGTATTACCCAAATATAAAGCAAATATGATTAGATCTAAAGGAAGAGGCAAACTGTAATACAATAATAGTATAGCACTTCAACACCCCACTTTCAACAACAGACAGATCATCCAAGCAGAAAATCTACAAAGAGGTATTGGAGTCTATACTCTAAACCAAATGGACCTAATAGACATTTACAGAACATTTCAGTCAACTGCTGCATATTATACATTTTCCTCATCAGCACATAAAACATTATCCTGGATAGACCATATGTTAGATCACAAAACAAGTCTCAACAAATTCAAAAAAGCTGAAATAATTTCAAGTATCTTTTTCTGACTATAAAAAAAAACCTAAAAGTCAGTAACAAGAGGACCTTTGGAAAAGTATACAAATACATGGAAATAACATTCTCCTGAATAACAAATGGGTCAATGGAGAAATTAAGAAGAAACTTAAAATTTCTGGAAACAAATGAAAATACAAACACAACATATCAGAATATGGGATACAGCAAAAGTAGTATTAAAAGGAAAGTTTATAGTAATAAACGCCTACAGAAGAGAGAAAGATTTCAAATAAACAACCTAACTATGCAACTTAAAGAACTCAAAAATCAAGAGCAAAACAAATCCAAAATTAGTAGAAGAAAGAAATAAGGATCAGACTGGGTGCAGTGGCTTACACTTGTAACCCCAGCACTTTGGGAGGCCAAGGTGGGAGGATCGTTTGAGCCCAGGAGTTCGAGATCAGCCTAGGCAACATACGGAGACCCCCATCTCTACAAAAAATAAAAACAAATTAGCCTGGTGTGGTGGTGCATGTCTTCAGTCCCAGTTATGTGGGAGGCTGAGGCAAAATGATCGCTTGAGCCCAGGAGTTCCAGACTAGGCTGAGCAACAGAGCAAGATCCAATCCCAGAAAAAAAAAAAAAAGAAAAGAAAAGAAAAGAGAAAAGAAAAGAAAGAAAAAGAAATTGAGACTAAAAAATATATAAAAGATCAACAACGCAAACTGTTGGTTTTTTGAAAAGATAAAATTGACAAACCAGTAGTTAGACTAAGAAAAAAGATTAAGAGCCCAAATAAATAAAATCAGAGATAAAAAAGAAAACACTTCAACTGATACCACAGAAATACAAAAGCTCATTTGACAATATTGTGAACAAGCACATGACAAAAAAATTGGAAAATCTAGAAGAAACATATGAAATCCTGGACACATACAACCTACCATCATTGAACCAGAAAGAAATAGAAAATCTAATCAGACCAATAATGAGTAACAAGATCAAAGCAGTAGTAAAGAATCTCCCATCAAAGAAAAGCTCAGGACCTGATGGATTTACTACTGAATTCTGCCAAACATTTAAAGAACTAATACCAAGTCTACTCAAACTATTTCAAAAAATTGAAGGAGGGAATACTTCCAAACTCATCTATGAGGCTAGCATTACCCTGATAACAAAACCAGACAAGAACACAACACACACACATAAAAAATCTAAAGGCCAGTATCTCTGATGAACATAAATGCAGAAATCCTCCACAAAATACTAGCAAACTGAATTCCACAGCACATTAAAAAAAAAAGACCATTCCATCATGATCAAGTGGGATTCATCCCAGATATGCAATAAGGGTTCAATACATGCAAATCAATAAACAAGATACATGATCAACAGAATCAAGGACAAAATCCATATGATAATTTCAATAGATGCTGAAAAAGCATTCAACAAAATTCAGCATCCCTTCATGATAAAAACTCTCAACAAACTGGATTAGAAGAAACATACATCAACATGATAAAGGCCATACATAACAAACCCACAGCTAATATCATACTTAATGGGGAACAACTGAAAGACTTTCCACTAAGATCTAGAACAAGGTAAGAATGTGCACTCTCATCACTTCTATCCAACATAGTACTGGAAGTCCAAGCCAGAGCAATTAGGCAAGAGAGAGAAATGAAGGATGTCCAAATTGGAAAGGAAGAAGTCAAATTATCTTTGTGTGTAGACAACATGATCTTACACTTTAAAAAACCTAAAGAGTCCACCAAAAAATTCTTAGAACTGATAAACAAATTCAGTAAAGTTTCAGGATATAAAACCAACATACAGAAATCAGTCACATTTTTATCCAACAGTTATCAATCTGAAAAAGCTATCAAGAAAGCAATCTCACTTACAATACCTACCAAAGAAAAAAATAATCTAGGAATAAATTTTACCAAAGTGAAACATCTCTACAGGAAAAACTACACAAAGCTGATGAAATAAATTGAAGAAGACACAAAAAATGGAAAGACATCCCATGCTCATGGACTATATAAAATAACGTTGTTAAAATGGCCATACTACCCAAAGAAGTATATTTGTTGATCTATACATATGCAATCTCTATCAAAATTCCAATGGCACTTTTCATATAAATAGAAAAATCAACCCTAAAATTTCTATGGAACCACAAGAGACCCAGAATAGCAAAAGCAACCCTGAGCAAGAAGAACAAAGCTGGAAGCATCACACTATTTGATTTCAAATTATACTACATAGCTACAGTAATCAAAACAGCAAGGTACAGGGATTAAAAACAGACACACAGACCAATGGGACAAATAGAAAACTCAGAAATAAATCCAAGCACTTACAGCCAACTCATTTCCAACAAAGGTGCGAAGAATATACACTGGGAAAGGACACTCTTTAATAATCATGCTGGGAAGAAGAATGAAACTAGATACCCATCTTTCACCATATCCCAAAATCAAATCGAAATGGATTAAAGACTTAAATCTAAGACCTGAAACTGTGAAACTACTAAAAGGAAACACTGGGGAAACATTCCAGGACATTATTCTGGGCAGAAATTTTTTAGGTAAAACCTCAAAAGTCATAGGCAACAAAAGCAAAAATAGATAAATGAAATTACATCATGCTAAAAAGCTTCTGCATAGCAAAGGAAACAATCTTCAAAGTGAAGAGACAACGTACAGAATGAGAGAAAATATTTGCAATTCATCTGACAAGCAATTAATAACCAGAATATATAAGGAATTTGAAGCAACTCAATAGCAAAAAATAATAATCATCTAATTATAAAATTGGCAAATGATCTGAATAGACATTTCACAAAAGAACACAACAGGTATATGAAAAAATGCTCAAAATCACTAATCATCAAAGAAATGCAAATCAAAACTACGAGATATCATCTCACCTCACTTAGCTCATAAACAAGACCAAAAAATAACAAATGCTGGCAAGGATGTGGAGAAAGGGAACACTCATACACTGTTGGTGGGAATGCAAAATAGTACAGTCATTATAGAAAACAGTAGAGGTTGCTCAAAAAATTAAAAATAAAACTACCGTATGATCCAGCAATCCCACATCTAGCTACATATTCAGAAGAAAGGATCAGTATACTGAAGAGTTATCTGCACTCCCATGTCTATTGCAGCAGTATTCACAATAGTCAAGATATGGAATCAAGATGTGTCCATCAACAGATGAATGGAAAAGGAAAATGTATAAAATAACACAATAAAATGTTATTTAGCTATAAAAAAGAGTGAAATCTTGTTATTTGTAACAACATGGATGGAGCTGAAAGTTATTGTTAAGTGAAATATGCCAGGCACAGAAAGACAAACATCACATATTCTCATTCACATGTGGGAGCAAAACGAGTGGATGTCAAGGAGGTAGAGGGTAGACCAGAGGCTGGGTAGGGAAAGTGTTTGGGAGGAGAATGAAGAGAAGGTGGTTAAGGAGCATAAAAATACAGTTAGATAGAAGATACAAGTTACAGTATTTGATAGTATAGTAGGGAAATTATTGTTAACTATTTATTGCACATTTCAAAATATCTAGAAAAAAATACTAACGTACCCAACACAAAGAAAAGACAAATGTCTGAGGTGATGGATATCCCAGTTACCCTGATTTAATCATTAAACACTGTACACATGTATCAAAATATCACATGTACCCCCAAAATATGTACAAATATTATATATCAATAAAAAAGAAACTATTGTAACTAGAATCAAAGAAAAGCATCTTGTGCCAGTGTTTGAATTTATTCCTACAACATTCATAAGCTCAATTACAAATCTTCAACATTTTCAAAATTGTTATAACTGTATATATTGCCCTTTTTCAATCCAAAAAGTTCCCTGTAGTGTGACTTTCTAATAGATAGCAACAGATAATCACAAATAACAAAGTTTCATGGTTAACAACATATGCCATTATATATTTCAAGAAACTAGCTATTGGCTGACTCATTATTTATTTCTAATAAAGTATTTTACCTTTAAAAATGATTAAAGAGAAAATAAAACAAATTATAAGTATTTGTAAAATTCACATACCCAAAGTGAACCAATGTCTCTCAACTTCCTCTCTCTTACAAATGTCCGTACTCACTCACATACAATTCACTCCCCAAGGCAGTACCTGGTTTACACTTCTCATTCCTTTCCCTAATGTTACCAGGAGGCCTAACAGAAAATTATGGCTCTCGGATAGCCAGTTATGGGAAAAGTTTTAGGCCTTTGTGTCAAGTCTCAAATTGAACTACTAGCAAGATTGTATTTTGGAGTTCCAACATAATCCTAATGATGATCTTAGTTTCCACTAATATTGACAGTTTTTGCCTATAAATCTGAAAAGCATACAGCCTACATAAAGTGAAGACTGGGTGAGCATAAATATGTAATTTTACTTACAAACACCAACTTTTGCCTCTTAATACAACGTTTCAAAAAAATGTACAAATTGTGAGACTAGTCTTCTATTCAAATAATGGTTTAAGATTAATGAATACCTGCTTTCCATGATTTCCGAACCCTGTTGCAAATTAATAGTCTCTGTTGTAATTTCCACTTTCCGTACACTTCCAAAGAAATCAGTTATCAGTACATTTTTAGGATCCCTCTGAAAAAGATCAGTGCGATGTCCGGGAGTAGACACACACAGACTTTTGGGACACACCTGAAACTGAAAAAATATATAATAATAAATTCATGCATCACACATATACAATGTTTATTAAATCCAATGACATAATACACTAAACTATAGTGTATTTTTAAAACTCTCCCAACCTAAAGAAGCTATGCATTCCAAAGAGCTTAAAGATTAAAGTTTCATTCCTATCATAATGCTTGGAATTTTAAGAAAACTATGCAGACATTAGGACAGTAATAAAAAAGTAGCTGGCCACTGTGGGAAAAGGCATACTCACTTTCTTGAATTATATGCTTCAAAGTGTATTGTGAACTCTTAACTCTAAGATCTCACACTCAACATGATGAAAACAGAATTGCTCTTTTTCTTTGTCTGTATCCATCACAGTGGGATGCTCTACTGGAGTGGTTTTCAAACGTTTTGTAATCATGCCCTTTGATTCAAACTTTAAATTCAAATAAAGTAGTACATGGAGGCCCAATATGTAAAAAACATTTAAGTGGAGTTGCTCTGGATTTCAGAAAACTGAAGCACAGCCTCTCTACTGCATACCCTCTTGCTCTCTATTGTACTCCTATGTAGCATTTTATATATCAAAGCACTTTCTTAGTTTATCTATGAAAATAAGCCCAAGCCACCTCCACAAATACTCCAGTGCTCAGTCTGAAAAACCACAACTTCACTGCAAAACAGACATCACAGTAATTTTTCTGTTAATCTTATCACTGATACTCGATGTCAGTGAATTACCAAGGACAGACATATATTCATTCACTCAGCAAAGCATAAAAAGTGTGTATTACATAGAATTCAGACTTACTTTCCACAGAGGATATGAAGATTGCTAAGACACGATCCTGTCCTCAAGGATTTCAGACTAGTTAGAGATGAATAAACATAACAAGGTAGAAAAAAATGGAAAGTCTCACTTCAGAAAAGGATAAACTTCTTACAGTTTGAGGATGGGAAAAAAACAGACAGTGAAATTCAAGTCTTTTTTTTTTTTTTTTTTTTTTTCGAAACAAAACGAGGACTTGCTGCTGGGAAATAAGTACATTCCTAAGAAAACAGCACTCGCAAAGATGTGCAAAGCAAATGATTTAGTTTGGCTGAAACACAAGATATATGAGGAAAAATATTATAGGCCTGACAGGAAAGGTCCAGGCACACAGCACCCTATCCACCTGTGAAGATAGACTGTCCTGCACTGGCAATCCAATAAAAGGCCACAAGGAGAGAAGGTTCAAAGCAAGCCTACCAATTTATAAAATCAGTGGTTCCAAGCACTGTGCTAAGCAGTTTGCGGATATTCTTCATTTAGCCTACCATAACTCTGGAGGTTACAAAGTTATATCTCCACTTCAAACTAAGTGCTCAAAAGAGAATGAAATAATTATCAATAACCACACTGGCCAAGCATCCTTGTCGTGCCTATTCAGGAACAAGCATACCAAGAAACACATAAGAAGACACTCAGGATAACAAATTAAAAAGGAAGAATAAAAAGTAAAATGCACCAACAGGTAATACAGATGAATTAAGACTGAGGAAAAAAATGACAGATAAAATAAGCCAAGAGAATAAAACTGAAGTCCCAAGAACATGTCTGAAGATCCTTTGGGTATTTCCTGTATGACCAACTTGATGGGCTTTCTTAGGTACCAGCAAAAAGGAAAACATTAAGAGTATAGCCAATGGCAGGGAAACACTGAGAATAATATTATCTTATTCCTTTGGCCTGCCAAAATAACATACCTTCCTTTAGTTATGAAGTCACTTCTTTCTTAAGAATTTTTATCACATCAATCTGCATTTCCTTTAGCTCATTAACACAATGACCCAGGTCTCATATTTACTCAGTTTAATTTCAATAATCTTCTTCATTACAGAATGTCCACACTCCATAGCCAGCCATTATTCAAGGTAAGAATCAATCTATTATTACCCAACTTCTGTGTATCTACCACATATTGTTTATTTCCTTAGAGTACGCTATACCTTTCTTCCTTCACCATACTTCCTCCTAAGGCCATTATAAAGACATAAGTCATCTATTATTCCAAGTTCCTCGTGTCTGCGGGTATTTTTTTTCCCCTAAGGTAGGCCTTATATACTTCCTTCCTTCAAACTATCTTACCGTTTTTCCCAACGAAACAAGTTATTACGAATTCTCACTATATTTCTAAAGGAACCATACAAATGTGCGCATGTTGTCATGGTCTTTTCATTCCATTAGTAGATATTCAAAATGAGCATCTACAAACAAACCTAGGGTACTGTAATTAATGTCTGTGGAGTGTAAGATGATACTAAAAAAAAATTATGGTCCTTACAACCTCGTTATTCAAAGAGCTCAAGCCCTTTGAGGAAACATCACAACATATAAACAATTATATGCAATGACTAAAGTATAATAAAGGTACATGGCAAGACTTGTAATGTCACACAAGGAAAAAAAATTACCTGAAGGGATCCGACATTTCACATAACAAGTAAACTTTAATAATGTGCTCTTCACTGTTACGCCAACTGACACTATGAATTCTTTAAAGGGGCTAACCACCAGGTTTCAAATTTTTGCTACTGCTAAAGCAACAACATTGTACTGGTGAATACACCTGATACCAACAAAACATTACTATATACATATATCTAACAGAAAAATAAGGGTATATTAACCAGTTGAAGCTTAGAACAGTTAAGTCCACTGCCCCT